CCCTCTCTCTCTCTCTCTCTCTCTCTCTCTCTCTCTCTCTCTCTCTCTCTCTCTCTCTCTCTTTATGCTAAAAGTATTTAAGTAGGAAGAGGGAATCAGGGGAGGGCAGCTGGGAGGGTGTGCACTGACCACTCATTCTCTGAAGGACAGAGCAGAAAAGAGAGCTTTCATGCAAAATGGCTGGACTCAGCGGACAGTGGATGAAAGTTTTCGGTTGGAGGGAAAGGACCACTTTGGTTCGGACCTCTGGAGGATTAGACAGAAAAGACAAACAGCGGACAGATTCTGTGAAAACATTCTCTCATGCTGACCAAAACAGCTTACAGGGTTGGACAACAATTTACTTAAATCAGTCAGAAGTTTGTCACACTACCAGTCGGATCACTTTACAAGTCGTTCCAGTTCTGTTAGAGATCCTGCCTTGAGAAATTCTAAGCTGCTGTACACAAAACACCTTTTTTTGGGTGAAACAATAGAAAACAAGAAAGTGTGGTTTAGTGAGCAGCAGGTCTGTTTGGATGGTTATAGACAGGTGGGTCACTTTGTGAACATAATGGGATGTAGACTATGTTAGTTTTTGTAACAAGATCGAGCATCCTTCCATTTTTACCTGCTTTTCTGTGAAGGGTTGAGGGAGAATCAGGGCCTTTCTCCAGCGGTCGCTGTGTGAGAGGCAGAGCACGGCCTGGATAGGTCACAAGTCCAACACAGGGAYGCTCACACGTAGAGTTATTAATGAACCTAACATGCAYRGTTTTGCWCTGAAGAAAACCCACTCGTGAACAAGGAGGACATTCAAACTCCACACAGGAACGAGCCAGGAGGTGACTCAGCACTGAAGCTCTGAAGCAGTAAATAAGATTTTGCAAGAAGAAACTGTTTTGTGACTTGAATGCAAAGATTTCAAAACACTGTGAAGAAAAACATTTAGAAAATTTTTGGAAGCCTTGAGCTGCTGCCTTCTTTAACSCAGGTCATCTGTTGGTGACTTTTCATAAAATGACTTCAAGAATTATAAATCATAGCTTACTGATGCAGATAACAAGTAGACACGAGCAGCAACGTCAAACATTCAAAATGGCTAAATGAATAACCRTGATTTGTTCAAAGCAGAGTGAAAACTGTCTTCATTTATTTAAAGCAGAGGTGCCCAAAGTGGGGCCTGTGGGCCAAAATTGGCCCGCCAAGCCATTTGATTTGGCCCACCAGCAGTTGTCCTGGTTATTAGATTGACATTTAGATTAGATTTAAGCCCGCATCTAGATTTGCACACCTTATAAGACTACATATATTAAAAATTTTAAATGTGAAAAGTCCCATGAGCCTTTGCTGCCTGAGCATACATTGAATTTTTTCCATGTCCATGGGCTGAATAAAAAAAGTGGGCAACCACACAGGCTGCTAGCTTAATCATAAAAAATAAAACAACTTTACTTTGCATTTCATATATTATTGCATTTGGCCCGTGGCCCTCAGATTGATTTGAATTTCGGCCCTTTCAGGGAAAATGTTTTTAATTTTCGCCCTCTCAGGGAAAATGTTTTTAATTTTCGCCCTCTCAGGGAAAATGTTTTTGAGCACCCCTGATTTAAAGTATCTGTTTAGGTTAGTGCACATACACATTTATAGATTTTATATAAATAAACAGATTATATGTTTATAAAGGGCAAAGCAGCTCTGACACCAGCCTATCTGTTCAACTACATGTAAAAAGAAAAACTCCTAATGAAAGTTGACATAATTTAAATTGTTTAGCTACAGTAGGCCTATGGCATAAACAAACTAATGACAAAAGTGGTGAAACATGACCACCATCTAAGGCTGGGCGATATTGGCCAAAAAAATTACGAATATTAATTGTGACTTATAGCCGATAATTAAAATGATTAATAGACGACCATCAGAGTTGCACGTAGCCGATGTTATGGCCTTGTTCTGCAATTTCTGGTTTTCCTCATACTCTGGTTTATGTCGGTCTTTTAGGTGATTAAACACATTCATAGGTTAAGGTTAGCGTTAGCTGCTTCATGCCGCCTTCCACCATTGGGCTCACATGTGCCTCTGATAACGATAGTGTGCCAGACACAATATGTCATCACATGGCATTAATTGCAGTAATTGTAAAGTGACAACTATTATTTGTTGATAGTATTTCTGACGATACGATTTCACCCAAACCTAACACCATCTCTCTCACCACTGATTTAGAGGCATTATCTCATTTGTTTGTTTTCCATATAATAATGTGGAGCCCCACTGCACATTGTCACACATATTACTATTAATATATACAGTATAATAAAACAAAAAACATGAACAGCAACAGCAGAATACAGAGCTAAAAGTAAGATCTCACTGTTTGAAATGTCTGCATGAACTTTCTGTTTTGACAGCAAATCTGTCAAAGTTCTTATGTTCAAAACTCAACTTTTATTTTTTGACCGTTTTCTATTTCCAAGTTTCTAATTATTTTCTTGTTGAAGGGTCAACTTGACAAAGACCCAACCTGCAGACTGAGCAATAAGTTGGGGATCAGCTGCATTACTCCCATGTGAACTCATTCACAGCGATCAGGTGTCGACTCAGTTGTGACTCAAACACAAAACCCAGAAAAACCTTTGACCATAAAGAGAGATAAAATCAGTAGCAGGCTTTACTTTTAGCACCAATATAATACTTTTCTACTCAGGTGTCATGTTTCTGTAAGATTATTATCACACAAAGTAATGGAGCTGAAAAGTCCTTCAGTAGTCCTAAAAACGTGCAAAACTTGTTCTTAGTGTTATTTTTTTTTATAATCCAGACTGAATATTTTGGTGTTCCGCCCGTCTTTTGATTGGGTGACGTTTCAGTTTCTTAACTTGATTTTAAAGACGCAGCTGTCGAGCTGTTTTTAGCGCCACATTCTGGACCAAATATCCCGGCCAACTCCTCCCATTACACAGAGCCAGTCCTCCAGTCAAGTTTCCCTTTTATGCTGCCACACAAGGAAACAACCACAGGTCAGGTGTTTAGAGCATTAAATGCACTTCGTGTGATGTCGTTACGAATGTCCAGCTGACATGTGAAGAACACGTGAACAGTAAGTTATATAAATATAATGCAGAGATTTTAACAAGTTTAACAATTATAATTAACCAAGAGTGAAAATAAAACCTAAAATGGGATTACGTAATATTACCTTCTAAAACACGTGGCTTCATAAAAATCTTGTTTGTAATGTGTGACACGAAGCTATTTCAGGACGAGCTTYGGTGGTCAGTGAGGGGCAATAACACCACGGAAGGAAACACCACAGCTCATTAGTGTGGATGCAAAACTTAACACAGCCACTGAGTCCCAGTTCAGAACCACAATTAGACTCCTTGATGTTTTTCCTAATATGGGATCCCAATAGATTTGCTAATGGTGTCTCTGTGGGGGGTTAGGTGAGGGTACGGTTGAGTAGGGATGTTGAAAGCAGACAACTGGCGCTCCCTCTATCACTCTATTGCCTTATTAGTGCTGAGGCAGCAGTGTGTGGACACACAGGCAGCATGCTGAGCCCAGCATTACTGCAACACATAGACTTCAGGGCCTCAAGACTCAAAGTTGGTCAAAAACTGAGGAAAAATCAGCTCCAAAAGCAGATTCACTGTAACTACTGCCTGCACAGATCACCACAAACATGGACCGTGTTTGACAGGTTATAATCAGTTCTAAACAAGAAGTGGATATATTTAAACACCTGTGACATTTCTGACTCCTCTAACATTTGAGATGATAGTTAAAATAGAGACACGAGAGCAGAAATGTGAGCCACCATGACTGAAAATAATAAGATGCAGGTCAACCTACTCATGTTCAACTTTTACTAGAGTTTGTCAGCTCAACACCTCCATTCAGCAGGCTGTTCACACAGATGATGAAGTGTGAAGAGTAACTTACCCCAAAATTAACCTTTTTAGCTGATAAACTGTCTAGAATGTGTCTAAAATGTTATATAGTACTGTTTCTGTGCTAATTGTGATGTTTTTGTGCGTATTTGTTCAAATCTGTAATATTTGGTCTAAAAACGTCTTTTTGCTGCTCATATGGGTGGAGCAGTGGTACTGCAGGCTAATTTGCATATTTCTCTCTCTCTCTCTCTCTCTCTCTCTCTCT